CTCTCTCTCTCTCTCTCTCTCTCTCTCTCTCTCTCTCTCTCTCTCTCTCTCTCTCTCTCTCTCTCTCTCTCTCTCTCTCTCTCTCTCTCGTGATGGAGTCAAGAGAGCACAGGGCTAATTGTTTTGCTGCCACATTTCTCCACTGATTCTCCACCTGCTGTTTCCCCACCACCACCACCACCCGCCAGCTCCCTCACCTGCATCTTCTACCGCATTATCCTCTCCACCTACTTCCTCCCCTTCATCCTCCTCCTCCTTGTCCTCTTCCTCTTCCCTTTCTTCATTGCCTCGATCATCAACACCATCATGGTCGGATCCGCTGTCGCAGTTGCCTCCTCAGCGCAGACGTTACCCATCAGTATCCCCATCTTGCAGACAGAGGCTCGTTTGTACATGAACAGCATGATCATCACACACCTGGAGGGAGTTAGAGATCTACCGCGGCACCATGCTCGCGACCATCAAGAACGATGCCATCACTCCCAATACAAGGGAGCCGGGAACAGTACATACGAAGTCTGCTGTCCACTATGTGGCGATGCTTTCAACAGTGCAGCGAACATCTATGCACCAGACACAAGTTGCAGCCACCTGTGCAGAATTTGCACGACTAGCAGCCATTCTGAGTACAGGTGTGGCTGACCCAGCTTCTGCTTCTTCCAGCTTCCCCCACCCAACTTCCAATCCACTTCCCCCCCTTCGATTGCTCCCCCACTCCAAATGACTATGATCCACCCTCTTGCATCTGAACCCCCCCCCCCCTCTGGAACCCATGCTGGAGCCAAATGGAGTTATCTCAAGACCCCCCCCCCCCCAGAAGCGCTTGACAGAGGATGTGGAGACGAGAATGAACCTCCCCGTTCCGTGCAGTCTGCAGAACCAAATCATATAATCGTGCTACAGCGAGGCCACTTTCCTGCTGGCATGTCAGCAACATGGTCGGATCGGCTGTCACCCAATGTTTTCAGGAAGCTTTCATGGAGAGTGTGTGTCGCGACCATATTGACCATCTCCGATGCCATCATCCGCGACATGTTGTCTATTGATGTCCCCCATGTGATGCTGGACTTCCTCCGGGTGCATCTGTAAGGGAGGGAGCTTCTCCATCCTCGCAAGATAAGGAATAGACACAGCAGCCTGAGGTAGATAACACCCTCTCAGTCTCTCAGATGATCGACCTGCAGTGCGCCGTGCGGAAAGGCTATCGCCACCCTGGCGAGCAGCCACGGACCAGATCTTGCAACAGCTAAACACCCTTAACTTGGGATCAGGCCCCGTCATCACCTGTTGATAGAGAGGGAATGTTGGCCGCGGAATCCCAAGAAACTTGCTCAATGCCCCCCACCGTGATGGTCTACCTGAAATTCAGCTAGCATGCGATTGGCATGCGTAATGGCCCCCTACCGTGATGGTCTACCTGAAATTCAGCTAGCACGTGATTGGCATGCGTAATGCCGCACCGTGATGGCCTACCTGAAATTCAGTTGGGACGTGATTGGCATGCTTTGTGCCGTGAGGATTCTGAGGGTATACCAAACCCCCAGGCAAGTCTTTGTTTTCATACATATGATGACAGTCGACGCTGTGCCCAAGTATGAGCCGCCCCCGGACATGGAATGTCCTATTTTTAGATAGGGGCTGGAATGATAATGCCTACCTATACAATCGCGGTCGGCGGGCCTCTGTGTTCCTAGCATGTGTGAGCCATGTTGACTGTGAAATCTGTCTATTTTGCACCATTTGATGCGGCAACTGCAACTGTGAGGTTACGAGAACATGATGTGGTATTCGCACTTCAACGTGCGACATCATTCATGCACAGCGCTCATGCATATGACACTGCACGACGCTGCACCCACAATGATAGAAGTAATCCATCAATGTAGACTGTGAGGCACATGCAACTGTGAGGATTGGATGCGGTGCTCTCAGCCTCGACACCCCGGACCAGTCCTGCACAAGAAAGGACAGCACAAGGTAAATGCAATGTAATGGTTTTCAAACTCCTCGTATGCTTCATGTCGTTTGCCGTGGAGGTAATGCTATTTCAATTTTGGATCGTTTGCAATTACGTCGGCAAGGGGTTGTTCTCTTTTCTTCACGCTTTTCAACATACACAGCTGTTGGACCTGGGGTTTGAAGCCAGGCACAAATCTTGAAATACTAACAGACGGACAGAAGTTAACCACGAACGTAGACTGGGTTGCTTTCAGAACCTGAGGTGCTGTAACCGTTTCTTACGACTCTCCATGTTACGTTCTGCCCTGGGTTGCATCGAATGGAAGCCGATGACCGACCCTGACCGCTGAAGAATCCACAGCCGACGACAGGTCGGCAACGGTCCACTGGACGAGTTTTCGAAGAAACTGAAGGCGGGGCCGTCCCCGTCCTGGACATGCCCCGAACACCCGGGAACAGTTGTGGAAACGATGTTTCCGTGCGTTTCGGTTCTCCAGGAGGGTGGGGGGGGACGCGAGGGTATGTGAACAACTAACTAAGGAGTTCGCTTCGGACCGGGGGTATGCGAAAAACGGCAACCCCGTTCGCTGTGGAGGGACGCGGGGGTATGCGGATGTCTCTTGTCGATCTTTCTGCACGAGGTGGAAGAGGATAAAAAACGTATTAAAACGGCAACCCCGTTCGCTGTTGAGATCTTCATTCTGACGCGGGGGTATGAGGACAACTAACTAAGGAGTTCGCTTCGGACCGGGGGTATGCGAAAAACGGCAACCCCGTTCGCTGTGGAGGGACGCGGGGGTATGTGGATGTCTCTTGTCGATCTTTCTGCACGAGATGGAAGAGGATAAAAACCGTATTAAAACGGCAACCCCGTTCGCTGTTGAGATCTTCATTCTCTGACGATTTCCTGCTCGGTACCTGTTATATGTGTGCGATTCAAAAAACTGATTCGGGAGAGAAGCCTCAGAAGAAGCATGTCTCTTATCAATCAGACTGCATGAGGTGGTAGGGGGCTACCTAGGTGACTCCTACCACCCTTCAGATCCTTCGAGTGTCTGAAGATTACACCGTTGAAAATTTAAAAAAAAAAAAAAAAAAAAAAACACGTTTTGCAACGTGAACTGTGTGCTGGACAACGTGGCAAAAGCTTTGCCAGTTTCAGGCAGTTTTTTTTTTT